GGAAAGAGTCTTGACAGCTACGTGCATTCTTAAACAATAATGGACTCCAGTGGAGGATGTTCTTTAAAAAGAAGCATTCACAAAGGAAAACTTAAAAAAAAAATAAGCGTGTTTAAACCCTGGAGTCTCTCTGCTGAAAAATGTATGATGTGCCAGGGGTGGATCTGGAGCAGAGCAAGCAATTTATTCTTTTAAACATTGCACCATTTTTTTTACCATATATACATTTGGTTAAACGGTTCTTTACTTCCAGCACCGTAGTGAATGCTGCTGCATCATAACCTGAACACTTAACTAGAGCTTCTCAAAACCGTATTTAGTTTTCAGTGTGTTCACATGAGCTCTGTCTTGCATTTTGAACTGTGAATTGCTTTCAGTTCCAAGTTCAGATTAAACTAAACATCAGCATAAACCACGTTTGGAAGAAAAGAGCTTTACATGCATTTGTATTACCAGATAATAAAGCCATAAATTCACACGAGACAAGATAGGGAAGCCATAGTTTCCATGAGTCATTTCATAGTTGAAGAAGTTGGACCCTGGGAAGAACTCTGAAAATCAATTTTTTTAAGCCACTGAAAGCACCACAGATAGTTTAAACCACAGTGGGCATGTCTACACAAGACTCTACAGTGCAGTAGCAGTGCTGTAGCTCATTGCTACTGCACAGTTGCATTGCCAGGCACTAACTGTGATGTGACACTACTGCACAGTAGTAATGAGCTACTGTGCAGTAACATCAGAAAAAAAACATGGAGCAACAGTACTGCACAGTAACTCCAACTACTGCACAGTCATTAAGTGCGTGCAAGTACTTACAAGTACTAAATGACAGTGCAGTAACGTCTGTGCAGTCCGCCACTCATGTAGATGCAGCCACTAGTGAAACTAAATTTTCCCCACTCAAACTGTAAAGGATTCTTTTCTACCATGCTTCTGCTACTCAGCACAGGGCAATCTGTGTGTTTGGGGGTGGGTGGTAAGGGGATTCCTTGGGCAAACAGATTAGTTTTTGGATTACACTCATACAGAGTTATCAAAGAAGTCATAGGAAAGGCATAGGAAATATGAAATATGACTATCTGTTAAGCTGAGCTACTGAGACCATAGTGTGCATTTGAAAAGTCTTGTTAAAAATAGTTTACCTATATTCCTGTGAATAGTCTAAAGCAGGACAGTACATGAGATCAGATACTCAAAGCAAAGTAACTATGACTTCCATACAGAATAATGCAAGAAGTGTGTGGCTTATGGACTTTGAAAACAAGCATTGTGAAATATTGGACTAGTTGGAAAGTAACAGAGCTGATCTTCGCAGAAACTTGGGGTAGATAAGCAGTTTGCAGCCCAGGAGCCTACTAATTTTTTGCATGTATTTAGCAGCAGTGCAGGAATATCTGCAGTTCATGGGTCTCTAGTGGCAGACTCACTGAAGCCTATTGTTTTCCAACAACAATTTTTCTATGAGAGAAGTGAAGCACTTACTAACTGATGAGTAGGTAACACAGCTACATTTGATAAGACTTCACGAGTGGGGATTACATGCTGAAAGATAGGATCTTAATAACAAGTCAAGTCAGTCTCAAGGCCACTGTGACCTTGAATTATGCACATATGAAGAGGTAAGTATGCAACAGCAAGCACGGGTCACATACAGTATAAAATAATAGCATGTAGTAAGGGCACAGATTCTGCAAAATTTCTGCTGTGTGTCAAACACTGATGAAAATATACAGGAAATGCCACAAAGTAAACCATTTTAAACTAGTGTGTCATTCAGACAAACAGAAATGGATAGGATATACAGTAAATGCAACTGGAGAACATTCTGAAGGAATTCAGTGCAGCAGTGATGACGTGGTGTTCCTTTTTTGGCTACAGTTTAGAATACAGAAGAAGACAGTAATGGAACATACGTAGCTAACTTAAGTCCAGAAAGAATATCTTTAAAATCAATATTGATACTATGGCACAAGTAAACCGCATCCCTGAAACAGTATACACAAAAAGGTTGACCCACTTCTTTAAAACAGCACTGCTTTGTAACATATGGAGGGCATGTACTCCATACAGGGAGTGGGGAAAAAGGTCATGAACTAGATTTCTATACAATAAGCACATCATTAAAGAGAATTTTAAAAATTACTAACTCGATTAAAAACAAATTGTTGTCATGGCAGTGAAAACCATAGAGAGATACTGCACCAGGTACAGTTGAGGAAAGATTTCCCAGTATGTTCATAGACATAGGATAACTCTAGTGTCAGTAGTGCCTATGGAAAGACTGTCACTAACAATAAGGACTAAAGTAGAAAAAGAACTTCTGCATCTGCACAGTTGGGCATAACTGTGAAGCTGGAGGAACAGTCAGGATGGAATAACTTGATGATTGCATTATGGGGGGGAAAAACCCATACCCACATATACAACTTGGTTATTAGGGGTGTGCAAAATGGTCCGTATTGGATTCAGATTTGGCCCGAATTGGGGACAGTATTTGATTTGTTGATTTGGATCACTGTCCGCGATTTGACAGCTCCTGCCCCAGTGTGCAGAGCTCCCACTCCTGGCTGCCTTCCACCCACTCCACTTGCCCGGCATGATGATCCACCACCTGTGGGTAGTCCCATGCCCCCCGCTTCCCTTCTCCCACCGACCTGGCTCCTGAGACCTAGAGTGCAGGCAGCCCCTCCCCAGCCCATCTCCACATGTGCACACTCCTGCACACACACTCCATCCCCCGTGACTCCCACATCCTCCCCACACACCTGCCCACCCCACCATGCACCCCACCACCCCCACACAATATTCAAGAGTAAGACTTCATTTTGAGCTATTATGCAATCACCTCTATATACATTACTCAGAAAAGCATAAACCAGGAAAAAAATATTTTTTTAAATAAAATTAAAATATGTTATAGTAGATATTTGATTTTAGTTGATTTTTTTATCTATAATTTGTTAAAATGGTATCTTCTGAAAGATAGCAGCCCTGTAGCAGGGAGGCAGAATCCACCCCTGCTAAGCTTACCTGTCAGACGAACTGACACTGAAAAATAAGTGGCAAAGCTAAAATAAACACAAGTGCGGCCACATTTAACTGGATGCAGGAGAATGATGTCAGGGGCATGTAAAATTTAAAATGGATGCCAGGACTGCAAAGTGGGTGGAAAGACTCCTGACTGCAGGGAATAGAGGGCGGACCCCTGGGCAGGGCCTAGAATGGGAGACAGTATTTACCAGTGCTGGTGTGGAGACGCTGGTCGGCAAACACCAAACCAGCATGCTCAGCAGACAACGCCAGACAAGGATGACTTGCAAGAGCTTCCTTTGCAAGGCAGAAGGAAACTGAAAGTGGTGGTTTTGAGCAGAAATCATAGTAAGAAGCTAAACCCTGGGCATGAGATGAGATGTGACACTGCTATTGAGAATCCTGGCTGGGGAGGACATAACTGGCAAGCGGCAGTAGCTCTCGGGTAAAGAGATAATTCAATTGTGGGCAGAGATGGGGTTGTACCCATGCTGTGAGCAATAACAGCATGAGAAGTCACCCCTGAAGAGACAGCGACCCTAAGGGGGGGGAGAATCACTAAGTGGTTGAGTGTGGCCAGCATTTTTTCGGTTTATGGCAGCCTGGATTGTAGCTAATTATTGTTCCAAATGTAACTTAATGGCAATTCCTGTTAATACCAGATTAAAAAGTTTAATTCAAACAAGCCATATTCTGCACCATAGGAGATCTACAGTAATACTAATTAAGCCAGATAATCTCATAAAATCTACAGCTGTAAGTAGGGCTCTTGAATGGCAAGCAATACTTGAGTCACATACTAAAATTTGTGAGCCAGGTCAATTAGTTAAAAATAGATAAATAGTGGCAGACACTTTCCTTATGCCCCAACAAACTTAGATTTATATATTTGCTATGCATAACTATAATAATATAAGTTTTGGGGGTAAAATTAAAGTGTTTGACATTCTCAGGAAATAGCAAAATTCACTCTGCACACTACTGTACAGTCATTCACTAACCAGTATTCATAGTATTCCTATGAGGATAGGATAGGATAGGATTCCTATCCCAATTGTACAGATGAGGAATCTACACAAGGGGAGCAGTAGTCAGGGTTCAGCATTTTCAAAAATAGCTGCCAGTTTTCCTGTCAAGTTTTGGATGCCCATACTTGGGACAGAATTGGCCCAGTTTTCAGGTATGAGTACCTGAAACCTGGTGTCAGCTGAAGGCATGGATTCTTTATAGCTCTGGAACAGGAACTGGATCAAAGTATCTCAGACTGGATGCATCTACTGAGATGTTTACTGTAGAGCTGCCTAATTAGCTCCACAGTAGTATCAGTGTCTACATGTGAGGCGCTATTAAGCTGCAGTAAACTAATTAACTCTGCTGTAGATTAGTACCTGTATATACAAGTACAATCCTGCAGAGGCATTTTTTAGTGTGCAGTAATGCACATGTAGATCCTGATGGGGGCTGGCTGGGGCACAAGGGTGCTTTAATGCAGGGTCTGCCTGCCAGCTGGCCTCACACTGTAGCACCATCGTGTCCCAGCCAACCCCTCCACAGCATATTGAGCCAGGTCGGAGCAGCCCCAAGCTGGCAGGCTGACCCCGGGGGCTACTCTAACCTGGCTCAACATGCTGCAGTCCCTGGTACACATGTAAATGCAGTGCCCCAGAGCAATAAACTCTGACTCAGTGTGCACCGGAGTTGATTGTATTGCATTAATTTCACGCATAGACGTGCCCACTGACTCCCCAAAATTCAGGTAACGCAACAAAGTCAGATACCTTTTTGAAAAATGTTTAAAATGTATAGAATATTGTCTACAATATTTTTTATCTGAATTGAGAAGGCCAAGCAGCAACTTGACCAGAACTCAAAGGAAGTAAACTCCACAGCTTAGATTAGAACCCCTGAATTCCTGGCTTTATTCCCACATTCAGAGCACAAAGCATCAGTCCTCTCTTTCCTTGCAGGTATGGCTAAAATACCCCAGAGGATTATTCACTTCATTCAACACCCAAAGCCTAGAAGGTCACTGAGGCAATGAGAAGACTGCTCTCCAGCTGTAATGTGAGAAGACTCATGCACCCTGCACAAACTGCTGTTGAGTGTGAGGAAGCCTGACAGGCTCTGCCACCTGGTCCTATGTATGTGTACAGAGATTATGTGCCTGGATTCATTTCCCACATGTCAGAGCAGGTGTATCCAATAGCTGAAGAAATGTCCTCAGAACAGTAGCTGGTATATTTACCATCATCTTGCCTTATCATATTCCTGTAGAAAAAAATATGGAAGAGAGCCAGGGAAAGTTGGAACAGGTATGCAGAGGAGAGAGAAGAGAAAAATGGTTCTTAACAGGGCTGGGACTTTCTGTTCCTGCTAACTACACATGACTGTGGGTGACCAAGTAGCGCTACTTGTCTTTGTGTGTCGTCAGGTTTCTTCACTGTTCTTCCCTGTTACCCTGTGCTTATTCATGCAACATTTTGTGCCTGCATTGTGCAGTCTTACCCAAAACACTTCCCAACAGTGCAGTGAACATTTTCCCAGTTGTTCCTCCTTCCAGTCTTCCTCAAGAAAATAAACCCTTGCAGGTAAGGCAATGTCAGAGGATGTTTTACCTTTTCTGTGTCAGCTAGATAAAAGCCATTTGTTTCAAACAAAAGAAAGGGGGGCAGTTGTCCAATGGCATTATTATCCAAACAGGGCCTGAGACAGATTTGGTCAGGCCCAGCCTCTCCCTACACGGTCACACCAACAGACAGGGCTGAAATCAAATAGCATCTGTACTGTACTGTACTGTCACCTGTTGCAAGATCTATTTTTTTTATTCTCTATCAGGCGGTTCATAGCTTTCATCTTAAAATAACGTAATTGATGGACGAGGCAAAGGGACATGTTGCAGGTAGTAACACCGGTGTATAACAACAGTTTCCTACAGAATTTCTCTAAGTAGGAGTTAAGAGTGAAGTATTTCTCACTTAAGCTGAAAAACCCTCAAGAAGGTAGATGGGTATGGACATGTACAAGGAGGAACAATGACTTTACCTGGAATCATCCAGGGAGGCACCTGACTGGTAAATTAGCTCATGCAGGTTCTGCAACTGAAGTTTTTAATCATGGACACTGCATATGTAGAAGCTTAAATATCTGGACCCATGGTTTTTATCTACAAAAATCCATGACAATGCAAAGTAATGGCATTAAACATTTAGGAAGAATGAAGACGCATAGGTAAGATAACCCAAACTGCCTTTAACTGGACTAGTGGCTGGTGGTGGAGTTTGGCAAAATATCAGCCTTGTAAAATTGTCCTCATCCATTTGACTTCAGTTCCTTTTTTGATGGGTAAGTAAACAATTTGTATTTTTATAATCCCCATTGCAAAGATGTCGAAATAAGTTGGATGCCTCAGTTAGGAAATGTTCATGATAGTCCACAAACCTGTCGGGTAGTTTTCCTGCAGAGTTAGCAGGCAGATATCTGAAAATGACTCTTTTGGGATTTGGTTAATTGCCCGTTGTCAAGATATGGAGGCAATTACAAAGGTGGCTAGAAGAGTGAACTGGGAGCCAGGCCTGTATGCAAAGTGGCTTGAGAGACTCAGGTGAAAGACCCTACATATTTGCAAAGGATTAAAAGTACTCTGTCTTAGAGAAAGAGAAAGGCTGAACTAGCTACCTTTCAGACAGAGGAGTCTCAGGAAGACTTACCTGTTCCTGCCTACACTCTACAGATAGAAGGCTTCCCTCAAAGGAAGATGCATTCACTACAACTGCCCTTGGTGAAAATTCTTGGAAAGGCAGCTAGTCAGTGCCAGATTTAGGCACAAGCTAAGTAAGCTACAGCTTACGGCCTCACATTATGAGGGGCCTCTAAATACAAAAAAATACAGTAAAACCTCACAAATCTGGCGTGCTCAGGACTGAGCATGTGCCAGAAATTTGAAAATGCTGGTTTTTTTAAACTGGCACTGCAGCCGGTTGAGGAGCTGGGTAGGGGTGGAAGGATAGTGGCAGCCGGTCCCGGAGCACCAGCTGCACACAGAGCAGCGGCACGGGGTGCTTAATGGAGGTGGCAGCAACCACGTGCAAACTTCTCCTGCCACTTCTGGGCTGGTGGGGGGAAATGGCAGCCTGTCCTGAAGTGGCAGGGAAATAATACACTTTTTTTGGTAATGCTATGTCGCCTCTTAAGCTTGACATTGCTTAGGGCCCCAGCATGTCATAATCCAGCCCTGCAGTTAGTAGCATAGGCTAAAACTGCTTTGTAAGTGCTTGATACAAGATGCAATGAATGTTAACATCAGGGAGCACATGATAAACTTAGGACGGGTGTGTGCAATTGGAAAGGTGTTTCAGTGCCCATTTCACCTCCTTGGGTGCATCCACACATGCAACCACGTGCTCACATGCCCCACCCCAGCCCCCCCAATGGCTGCCCCACCCAGCCCCAC